TCACCAGCTTTCAAACTTCAAAGGTTTCTCATCATTTTCAGGATCAAAATCCTTAATCTTTAAACAACTCTTTATAGAGAGAGAGTCCTTTTCTCTCTTTGTTCCAATCACACTGGACTTACTTCAGTTTCTTAAAATTCATCAAGCTTAATCTTGTCTCAAAGTATCAACACAAACATTCTCTGACCTCACAACTGAATCTCCCCCACACTGGAACCCCCATCACTGGATTTATTTTTCACACACTGGCATCTGCATCTGTTTTCCTGTTTGTTTATGTGTTTTATTGGGGGAAGAACCTTCATGAGGGCAGGTACCATGAATTCCCTGCTAACCATCTGTACACTGTGATTAGGAGAGTGCCTGGTACATAATGGCTGTTCAGAGAATATTTGCTGGGAAGTGTTCAGGTAACTAAGGACACTCACCGACTTTTAGCTGTGGGCTAAGCTCTTCATTTCCAATATGGAGAATGTAAATATAGTACTAACTTAGCTCAAGGCCTGGTAAACTATGAATACTCGATAAAAGTCCGTCATTTTGAGGATGGTGATCATCATCAACTATAACTCAAGATTGAGAGCTAACCTGCAAGAGTTTAAGCAGGTAGAATGAATAGCAGAGATACTACTGACAACCACAATTACTGTTCAATTAGGGAGCGGCTTGTTAACTGGAAGTCCATTAGATTTGTTTAAATATTTGATTAGTTTGGATCTGCAAAGGTGAGCATGTAGGAAGAGTGAATGTACAATAGAGTGAGACACACCTTGAGTTTGGGGCATTTCCAGGTTGGTAGCCGTTGAGGGGTGATATGGGAAGGGGAAGAGAAAGGATTAACCAAAGCACTGTCCTTGGGCTGGGCCAGCACAAAGTTAGAGCTGTCAGTGACACACCCTAGTGAAGGGTCCATTCCTCAAAAACTATTGTTGCCGGGCCAGTGTGGCTCAGTGGTTAAGTGTCAACCTATGAACTGGGAGGTCACAGTCCAATTCCCACTCAGGACACATACTAGATCCCCAGTAGCAGGCGTGCAGAACGCAGCTGATCAATGACCCCCTCTCTCTCTTTCCCCTCAATATCTCTCTCTCTCTCTCTCTCTCTCTCTCTCTCTTTTTCTCTCTCTGATGTTTCTATCTCTCTCTTCCCTTCCTCATTGAAATCAATAAAGAAATATATGTATTTAAAAAAAAAACAACAACTCTTGAACAAAGGGCTATCTAACATTCTATTCAAGATTATTTGAACTGCTGTACTGCTTCCCAAAACCCTTAGCAAATATAAGAACTACAAATATCCTTTATGTTATTTTGTTAGAAATCAAAGGAGGTAACTATCATCCACTCCAGGCCCAAGAGGATATATGTGGATACACAACCTACATATCCATGCTCTGTCCTCACTCCCTTGGACAGCTCCTCTTTGACTAAGGATACACTAGCAAAATATCCTGGTGAGGTCCATGCAATCCCTAGAAATGCACTCTAGATATAGTTTTATTTAACTCATCCCAGATTTGTAATAAATACAAACACACTCAGGACCACATGAACTAGTATAGGATATATCAGAGTCTTGGGTACTAGAGCATGACCTAAACAGACATCTGAGTTTGGGCAAATCCCCTTGGTGATTAGTTGTAAACTGTCTAGCCCAGTAAAAGATGTTCTATTTCTTTTTGTGTCACAGAGAGCCCCAGTCTCAGAGTAAAGTTAGAGAGTAGCACAGTGTCAAGCAGATAGGTCAATTATGTCTGCCACAACGTCACTGTATTAAAAACTCTGAAGCTGACAGTATAAATAACATTGCCTTAGACACTGGTGGAAACCTTTCTGTTAAGCTCATCTATCAATAACATTACACATAATATTATTTTAATGTAGAATAATGGGTCAAAAAGTAGAGTCCACAGAGGTTGGAGGGTGTTCATAAACTCATCTAAAATTCAAGGGTAAGGTGGATGGATTTGTTCAGAACAAGAAGGAAAAATGTTGGGACTTACTATAACAGTCATGCCAACTCTAGCTTAAAATTATTATACAGGGTTATTATGCTCTTGCCCCTGCCAACTTGGCTAGAAAATAGCATAGTTTGATATCATCATCTCCACTTCTTGGCTGAAGTATAGGAGAACCCAGAGGCTGAAGGGGAGGCTGCATGGAAAGTCTCACTAGGGGAATGGGATCTGAGTTTCCTCTTATTATTTGTACCTTAACATTCTCTGCTAAAAAAGCACAACAATAACAGCAAAGAGAAATGAGATCCTATGTCACCAGATGAGATATGAAATGACAAAAAATTAAAAATCAGAAAACATGAGTCAAAAAATAGCATCATGGAAGGAAGAAATACTCTTACTTGCAATGACAAAAATAAAAAAAATAATAAAAACATGTAAATATGTTTCCTAAAAGTTTATTTAAACACTTAGACTTAGTAATATATGATTTCTTAGAGTCCTATAAAATCCCTTTGGGGTGATTTGGTTGGTAATGGGAAGTTCCCATTTGGTGAGTGAAAAGACTGAGGCGCAGAGAAGAGTGACTTGTTCCAACTCTGGCAGTCAGTCCTGGCAAGCCCACCTCCTCCAGCTCCTCCCCCTTTTGAGTGTACGGAGTATGTGGTCTATAAGGTCTTTTGTTCAATTAATGTCAGCCTGAAGAACAGTTTGAGCCATTGTTCTTTCATCACAGATATATTTCACAAGTCGTTTGTATTTATTACAAATCTGTCATAAGTTAAATAAAACCATATTTAGTCATATGATGCAATATGCTATTTATTCAACAGCCACTTAGATTATAATGAAAACATACCAGTCTAATTACACGAGAAAGCAGGAGGATGGCAGAACACAGGGAAAAAATATCACAATCCCCTATGAAAATGTGAATATAGTTATCATTGAAGAAATGAGCAAATCTATAAATAACTTATTTTTACTGTGTCGCATTTGCTTGATTAAGAAAAATGGTCAAGTAACAGGATTTCCAAAGCATGAAAGTGCTGATGTGGGTAGAGACAGATACCATGGGAACAAGGGACAAGCGCTCAACTTACAAACAAATTGACCCCAGAAGTTGAGTTTGAACGGAGGCTTATTTTCACAAAGAAATAGTCTAAACTTGGGATTTCTGAGGTTTGCCACAGAAGCATGTTCAATTCATATGTAGTTGAAAACTCTGGCCATTAGACATTGATGGAACCTATGCATTATTTAAAACACAGCTGCTGAAGGATGGTGTTCGGGGTACAAACTCAAGAAGCCAGAGATGAATCAGTGTCTCTGAGCCCCATCCTCCTGACACTTTTCCTCGACCTTTTTTCCTCCCCTTACCCTCCTTCCAACTAACACACACTAACTACTATTTGTTGAACACTAGCAGTGAGTAAGGGACAGTGCTGTCCCCTCTCTTTTGCCCTGAGAGCAGGCTCAGAGGTGGCCTGCAGTGGTAGGAAGCTCTGGGGGAGGGGGAGCGGGGAGAAATAGCAGAAGAAGGCTCACCCAGGGTGGGGTAGTGGTCAGGAAGGTGGGAATGATTGATGATGGCCCCAGTTTCGGGAGAAGCTTTGTCCCACTGAGACAGACATATTGAGAGGGTAAGGGTCATTCGTGAATCAGGCATTAATATTTTGAAAACCTATCTTATTTCTTGAGCAGAGTTTTTAATGAGCAGCAGTGTCGCTATCAGCAGCCCTTCAGTTTGCTACCCTGAATGTGAGTGTGCCTTTCATACCACCCAGGACAGGACACCATCTTTTAGCCTGGACCACGACCATGGTCCCCTAGCTGGTCTTCCTTCTTCTCTTCTTGCCATCCCACTCTTTCCACAAGAGTATTTCACCCCATACATCATGCCAAACTCAGCAACCCCTCCCATTTCCCTCAACAGTATGGTGATTACCTGTGTCTCTGAGTTAGTTGTTGTTGATGTTTGCTTAATCCCTTCACCTCTTTCACCCAGTCTTCCAACCCACCTCCCCTCTGACAGTTGTCAGTCTACTCTCGGTGCTCTGTGAATACTGTGGACTCCCGCCACAGGGTAGGGACAGCAGGCAGCACAGAAAAGTGACCATTACTAGTCCTCAGACTCTCCCAAAAACCAATTCCACTCTTGACTGAAGTCAGTAAAATATATGACATAAAAATTGAAAATAAAGCTTTTGAGTAGAAATTTTCTTTGGACCTTTCTATAGAATTTACTTTCCCTTACTGCAGAAAACTCAGTGGAAATCACCTGACCATCTGATATTCATTTTCACACAGTTCAATTTCCATCCATGCCCTCCTAAATTGAGCAGTAACACTGTATCACTCTACAGCTCTTTAATGGCTCTGCGAGAACGACATAGTATATTTTTGGGGTGATTTCATAGCTATCGGATTTAAATGAGTAGTAAGTCACAAGCCCGAAATTATTAACATCTAACATGAACCAGAACACCGCCATTATCATAATTCATGCTTTTACATAGATATCAAATTCTCAAAGAACAAAATTCACATAAACAGTTTTCAGGGACTTGAAGACGAATGATTTGGACATTTTCAAAACCCTGTCATTTGAGACCGATGTCACAGCAACAATTCCAAAACACTTTATTTAACTCAGCATCAGTGCTATTAATTTCGCTGTTATAATGCTCTATTACCTTGAGTCTTTTCAACATGTTATTTAATGAAAATTTCCTTCACTGTTATTTAATGAAAATTTCCTGCCATTATTACAAAGAAATCGTTTGCAACGATTGACTCCTAACTCCATTTCTTCAGGTAAATAAACATGTGACTATATCAATGAAGTAGAAGAAATTTAAGGGGAATATTATAAAATTAAAAATGTATGAGGGGGGGAGGGGGGGAAAGCACAGTGCTTATTCAAACACACATCCCAAGCTAGGTCTTACTGAATAGAGAACCACTGGTGTCTCAAAATTAAATATCACAATAATTTCACTTAACTTGAAAAGAGAAAACTCTGTCAGCCTCTGCGGCTTACCTCGTCATCTTTATACCAGGACAGGCTTTCAGCAGTCAGGACAAACCAGTATCCCTTGGAGCCTCCTTTCATGATGCCGATGTTGCTGATGGTGAGCCAGCCTTTGCGAATCACCTACAAGAGAGCACAGGTCAGTGGAGAAGCTTAGTCCAACAGGAGCCAATGGAGACCAGGTCTTGCACTTGAGTGAAGTTCAAAACAAGATACAAATCACAAGAACAGCATTGCTTCCCCAAAGTTCAAATTCCATTACTCATTTATCTCCCAAAAGCACTGATAACCAAAGGGAAGTCTCTCCCATCAAATGAACAAAATCGAAATGACAGACTTATATAAATGGTGGAAGCAGAACTGCTGAGAGAGAGAGAAAGAGAGGAGTGAAATTCTTGTGCCGGGCCCGTTTATGGCATGGCTGCTAAAATGAAAGCATTCTGGTTGATTGGATGAACAGCAACAGACTCTCCATGCCCACCGCTTCTGCTCCCATTGTGGCTCCCTTGTTTGCCTGGTTTTGTCTCATCAGGATTTCCACTAGAGGCTGGCCACCAAATGGTCTAAATTTATCCATCTACCTCTGGTTGTTATTTGACACACTAAAGAAAAAAAATGCAAGCCAGCCAAGTAGTTCCTTGTTAACAGCTCTGAATGAGGCTGAATGAGGAAAAGAGCTGAAATAATAAGCTAAAATTAAAAATTTGGCCCTGACTGGTGTGGCTCAGTTGGTTGGGCATCATCCCAGGAAACAAAGGGTTTCCAAGTTCAGTTCCTGGTCAGGGCACATGCCCGGACTGTAGTCTAGATCCCCAGTGGGGGGCGTGCAGGAGGCAGTTGATCAATGATTATCTCTCATCATGGATGTTTCTATCCTTCTGAAATCAATAAAAATATGTGTGGTTTTTAAAGTTTGGAGTTTTTAAATGTTCTAGATTTAAAACCATCTATCTCTGGTAGTTATTTGACATACTAAAAGATATGTAGCATCTTCAGAAAAGTCTTTAAACAGCTTTTAAATTTTAAAACATTAACAATTAAGCTTACTGATTTATGATGTATAAATGTCCTTTAAGTGAAAATCTATTTTTTCCCTCAGTTGTAAAGTTAAATTCTGTTTTTTTCATATGGCATAGTTTATCATCTCCTCTATGCTACATATTTGTTATCATAGGACCAGAAATAAAATACTAATTGGAATTGTATGATATCGCTTCAAACGTCAAAAATCATCCTATATCTAACCTGTTCAATACCTAGAGAGCCTGAAATATTTTAAAAATTACTGAATTACTGAATGACGGTGTCAGTTCCTAAAAAAAGATTAAAATACCTTTATAATCAGAGTTTATGTTTATATTGCTATTAACTTTTCTAATTTAAGAAGAAAAGTCAATCCTAAGGAAAATTATGAATCAAGGTTATCATTATTGATCCTTCAAGCCTTTGTCCATATATTAGTCCTTGCCACCCTTGATTCCCTATTTCTGCATCTCCCAGAAGCCCACTGTCCTTTTTAATGCTCTATTTAAGTTTTCCAGATGCCCATACAGAACTCATTGAGGCCCAGACTATGACAATTCTCTCCACTGTTCAAAATTACTTCTTCTTCTTACCCTCTACTAGACAAAGAAGATACCAATATTTCTCCAAGTATGGTTTCTACCAGTTATATTATAACAATTGGGATGCTTTTTAGAAAAACAGATTCTTGGGTCACCTGCAAGTCTAAGTGAACCAGAATGTGTACACTGAAGCCCAGGAATCTACATTTTCACATGGTCCCGAGGTAATTCTGATTCATACTGAAGTTTGAAAAACACTGCCTGCACATATACAATCAAAACTTCACTGTCCTTAGAGCAAATGATCTCATCTAATTTTTAATGACTATACATTCATTTCTATCAGCTCCCTCGGCAGGAGGGAGCTGATAGAAAGACAGAATATAAAAAGTCAAAAGGACACCGAGAAACCTATCAGGTGAAAAAGACAGATACTATGTAAGTAAGAATTGGGTTCGGAGAACTTAAAATGACCTGGTTTTACTGGTACCACTGAATTCATCTCTCAAAGATGCACCTCTAGAAAAATGAAATGTTATAATCAAAACATGATAATTATTAAACATAATTTCACCCAGTGGATATATTCAGTTGAGCTATATGGAAGTTATAGGTTACAATTAACAGTTAAAGTAAAATTTGTAAAGAATCTACACTAAAATTAATTAGAATATTCTGATTAGTACATTCTATGAAGTTAACCTCATTTGCATTGCAACAGGCTTTCTCACATGGAGAGAAAATAAATAAAAGAGGATTACAGCTATGCGCATTGTGAGTGCATGTGGCCAGCACACTTCAGCGACACCCATGGAAGAGTGTTCAGTATTGAACACTGTCAGCAAGTAAGCTGCTGTCATGGAAAGTTTAAGATACTCTGGTCCAATCAGAAAAGCATAGTTGCCACAAATGAACTTGCTTTTTCTCCGACGATGGTCAGCTCAACATAAGAATTAAGGGGGAGGGGGGGAAACAAAACAATTCCTAATGTACCTTGTCAAATAAAAATTGAAGGAGAGAAAAATCAAGTTAAACAGTGAGACAAGCCAGGAGAAGGCAAGCATTCAGGAAAAAATGATCATGACACAAGAGGCAAGAATGTGAAGAGGAAATTAATACAATAAAACAAAGGAAAAGTTAGAAGTGAGAAAAGACAAAGACGAATAAAATTTCCAAAGAATGTCAAAGGCAAATGGGATGGATGGTAGAATCTCTTCACAGAGAAAGATCTGAAGTGCTGATTTCACCTTCAAAGGTAACATCACCACAATAAATCCATCACCATTCAGTACAATAACCTCTTAGAGCCTCTTAGTATTTGAATATCAAATTCTTTTTTGAATGCCCAAGTAAACAAGAGCAAGCAATCCCATAATGACATGACTAGAGGGGACCTTGAGAACTGAAAGGGCATGCTCTTTTGTAAGCCTTGAAACGAGCCAATTTTTTAAAAATTTACTACCATGAATAACATCCAAGCTCCCATGCCAAATACAGAAATGCTGAAAGTGAGACCAGCAAGTGGAATAGCCCAGCCCCTTCCTTTCGTGACGAGCCTACTGTAGAGAATGTGTCCTTGGTAGTTCCGTAAGAGGCCAGGCCTTTCACGGTTGGCAAAATCAGTATGTTAGGGGTAAGTGTGGAACTCAACATCTGGCCAGCACACAGGGTCATAAAACTAATACACAGACAAGAAATAACATCATGAGGAGGGGAAAAGGGCATGTGGAAAAAGTCTAGTTTAGCAAAGGCTTTGGGTCTTGAACTTTATCTGTGAGCAGGGCGTTTTGACCTTGGCCTTGCTCATGGGAGACCAGGCAAGTTTTTCTCAGCTCTGCAGCCAGATTTTAACTGTTGCCGCCTGAGGGGAAATTAGTAAACCACAGACCATTTGATCTTTTTATCTTGGTACATGAAAAATGCTTACAGAAGGACTGTGTCCATGGATGAGTAGCTGCTTTTCTATGAAGGTAGTTCCCATGCCATAGGGCTACGTGGGGAAATGCTCAGAGCGGCGTGGGCCCAGCTGGTCACCACCTTTGTGAGCATCCTCAGGATAAAGGCTTGTCCTTGAACTGGCTGGAAGAGTTCTTTCTAAGCAAGAGTTCAACTGTAGGGGAGACCTCAGGAGGGGGAACTACATTAACTACTTTAAAAAAATAATAATAGTTTTAATTTATTGCACTCTATGCCAGGAACTTTACAGAAGTCAAAGTAAGGCAGCGAAGGTCTGTATCACAGAGCACTCTTCAGGGTCCAGCTGTAATTTAATTAGGTCCAGGCCTGGACCCAGGCCCAGGTAGGCAACAGCAAGGGTTGGATTAGGGGCACTCAGTGCCATCCTGCACCCGGGCCTAGGGCAAGAAGGGAGCTACGGCAGACCTAACCTTGAGGCATGTAACTGACTTACAACTTATAAGGGTCATCATCCACTTGGGCTCACGTTTTCAAACTGGCCCTGGATTATATAGGAGGGAGAAAGCTTCCTTAGGAGGCCTAGGCTTCTAAGATCAAGAAGTTATATATAATAAGGGGCAGGAAGGGAACACACAGAGACAGAGGAAAATCAAATGAGGGTTTGAATATGCTACATAGGAGAGAGAGAGTAACATAAGTAAGACCTCTCGTTGGGGGCTGCCCAGGGCAACTTCCTGAACTTGGAAACGGACAGTGGTGTTTCAAGCATTCTCTTAAGATTATCTAGATGGATTCCCCCTTAATGGTAAGTGCACAGTGGCAAAATTCTCCTCTTAAGAAGATATTTTCCTACATTAAGAAATGTAGACGTTCACAGAACTAGAGAAAACGGACAGCCTGGGAGAGCTAAACCCACGGCGGTTTTCTCTATCTAACCTCGCCCCCTCTCCTTCAGATCCCCTGAGTGTTGGCAACATCAGTGATGGCAGCAGGGAAAGGGGTCCAGGAACATAAATGGTGCCTGGGATAATTGCTGTAAAGACTAGAATGCCTATTTGTCTTATTAAATTCATTGGTATGGAGCAAGTTCTGGAATTATCTCTTTGCTTTATTCATAGATTAAAGGGAAACAAGAGAGTATTCAACTCCAGAAGCCCAGAAGAAACAACCCATTCTATGAGGGTATGGCTGCTGAAGGAACCCCAAGTCCACCTGGGCCACAGACCCTCTTAGATGTTCCCTAAGTATCTTAGACTGCAGACTCCTTTGAGAATGTCATCTTTGGACTTTTTAAGAACTTCATAGTAGGGGGAGGGGGGTCATATTTATATTGAGGACATGTCTATTTCATTGACATTTTATTATTGAATGCAAGTTAGAATGGATTAATGATATCCTCTGATAGCTGCAGAATCTCTGATAGGCTATGGGAACAATATGACTGGACAGTATTTGAAACAAGAAATAAATAAAAATAAAAATAAAGGAGCCAACAATTAACCTTGGGTATAGAGTGGCCTTACTGGTAAAGTGAATTTTACTGGTGTGCTGTTTTGACCCATTTCAGAGTCTTCTCTCCACTGGTGGTTCTAGGAGGAGGCTCAAAGGAGCCACGATTAGCTCGGGAGGAGTGGCTTCAAA